GGTGGCTAATGTTGGGCTATAAAGGAACTACAGCACGGTCACATGACTTCACGCCACCACTGCTAAGCTAAAGGAGGCTAGTGTTAACCACAGACCTTATTTCAGGATAACAACCCAAAACACATTCAGGAAACCATTGACTTCCAGACCAGGGGACAGGAAGTAAGAAAATGCTGACTCATTCCCAGATTTTAAGACTCATTTCTGCTCCATTTTATTAAAGGAGGAGAATAATAGGTGACATATTAAGAGAAGCTAAGATTTGTACATTTAAGGACCCACTGTTTGTAGAAGGAGTTTCAGCTTCATGATAACATTGTAATACCACCCACACACACACACTCACACACACACACACACACACACACACACACACACACACACACACACACACACACACACACCTTACAGGCGGCTATAACCCAATGCGTATTGTATTTTAGCATCGACACGTCAACACGAACATAACCGCATTGATTTTGCACAAACATACACACACAAACACCAGAGTCTTTGGTGCCTCAGTAGAAGCTAATAATAGCAGCACAGTGGCTTCTTACATAATAGGGTACAGCTGCACACACACATACACAAACACACACACACACACACACACACAAACACACACACACACACACACACACACACACACACACACACACACACACACACACACACACACACACACACACACACACACACACACACACACACACAAGGCTATCGACCCTCTGAGAAACCAGACTTCACTGCTGTGACCCAGTTAAGGTCACGGTCCACACAGAAGAGGCAGAAATATGATTTAAACATGAGTTTATCTTCACGTTATGTAATATATATCAAGATGGTATAAGTAGAGGTATTACGTAGCATAACATGGAAATACTTAAAGGTCCCTTTTCTGCTTTTCTGGGGCTTCCCTCTCCTGTACTGTGTTATATAGGTTTTAGTGCATATACATGGTCTGCAGAGGCTAACATCCCAAAGTCACTATGAGTCACTTGCACTCCTATTGGCAAATGTATGTGTGTGTGTGTGTGTGTGTGTGTGTGTGTGTGTGTGTGTGTGTGTATGTGTGTGTGTGTGTGTGTGTGTGTGTGTGTGTGTGTGTGTGTGTGTGTGTGTGTGTGTGTGTAAATCCAAACAGACGCTCTCTGCTTCCTTTCACACTTTTATCGCTCTTCTCCCGCACAAACAGATGCTCTCTCCGAGTCTCAGCCTGTGTTTCTGTAGGTCTGCAACACAAACAGCTTTACACACACACACACCATACGCTCCCAGTGTGTGTGTGTGTGTGTGTGTGTGTGTGTGTAGTTATACATGAATGCTGTTTAACCAGCCTGTGCTGCACGTCAACAAACAAAAGACTCTTAAAAGTGACGTAATTCTTTTGCAGATTTGCATTGAGATAAGATAATCCTTTTTTTAAATAGCTACCTAATAAAGGGCTAGAAGAAAGATGAATTACTGCAGTAAAACTACTAATACCACACTGTAACAATACTGCATTAAGTAAAATAAATTATTATAAGAAAAAATTGTACTTAAAATGGTTTATTATTATTATTTGTAATCTTTCTTTTATTATTCTATTTTCGTATTACTATTCATATTTTTGGTTCATATTATTATTATTATAATTATTTATATTTGTTATTTTCTTTATTATATTTTGTATTATTATTTGTAAGCATGAAACGAAGGCCTTAAAGATGTAGATTACGTAAAAAGATTGGCAATTTTCACACATTTTAAAGACTTTATTTAGTAGTTGTAGTACTTTAGTATATATACTGTAAACAAAAAGCTAAATATTCTTGTTACCACGGTTCACAGGAGTGGATCGACTTGCTCCACAGATCTCATGTTTCTGTGGAGAAGCTTCAGCGCTGTCTGATGTTACACCGAGGAGCCTCTCTAGTGACAGCAGCAGCTCTCTAGTCAATTAGTGAAGACCTACACACTGTGTCCTGTTACACACACACACACACACACACACACACACACACACACACACACACACACACACACACACACACACACACACTTTAACACATAATCCACTCTCTAGACGCCTGGAAACCCCCGGAGAATCCCCCAGTATGACCTTTCTGTCCAGTTAAAGGTAAGCAATTCCCCTCAGGAGACCCTGTTGCACCCTAACCTCCTCCGATGACCTCCTCCAAAGCCCCAAAACCTGTCAAATATGTTTAAAGGACACTTCCTGTTCTTTAAGGGGCTTTGAGAAACTTCTGGAACAACTTTCAGATCCTTAAAATCAAACTTAAGATCAATCAGAAGCATGCGATGACCATCTCAAAGACCTTGGCATATTCAAAGATTCCTTGAAGGCAAACCACACTTATTGGTACACATTAACGGACCCTTGAACAAGTTTCAGTGACCCTCAACATCCAAAAGATCACTTGGGAACAGTAAAATATTCCTTGAAGAACCTTCTGATACACATTGAAAAACCCTTGAAAAACTTTGAGTGATCCTCAAGACCCAAGAACTCCCTCCTTGACCCGTCAAATCTCCAAGAAAGTTCCACAAAGACCTAAAAAGAGCAAGTGAAACAAAGACCTTGGCTCATGCAAACGCTTGTTGAAGACACTGATACCATCAAAGGATCTTTGAAAAGTTTCTTCAAGATCCAATAGCTTAATCTGTGACCAATCAAATGTCCAAAGGATTCCACAAACAACTCAATGTGAGCATTTTAAACTCTCTCAAAGACCTTGGCACATCAAGAGGTTTCTTAAAGACCCATAAGAGTTACTGATACCGTCGAAGGATCTTTGAAAAGCTGCCTTAAGATCCACAAACTCATATCTTGATCCATTGAATCTACAAGAAAGTTCAACAAAACAGGTTGAAATTGGTTATATAATCCTTCTCAACGAAGTGAGGAAATTCAACGATTCCTGGGAGACTCATCAAACTTTAGAGGCCAAATGACCCTCAAGATCCATCAACTCACTCCATAACTCACAAAACCTTAATAAAGAAAATGTCAAAGACCTGTACATATTCAGCAATTCCTTGAAAACTCATCAAGTTCTCTGTACCAATTGACGGACCCTCAAAATCCAAAAGCTCCCTCCAAATCTCCAAGGAAGTTCCAAAAGAACACTCTTAATAGCATTTGAAACACTCTCAAAGACTTGGGAACAGTAAAATATTCCTTGAAGACCCTTCTAACCTTCTGATACTCATCGAAAGACCCTTGAACAACTTTGAGTGATCCTCAAGACCCCAAAAACCTTTTCAAAGACCTGCACACATTCAGGAAATCCTTGAAAACTCATTACACGTATTGGTACCCGTTTAAAGACCCCTTCAAGATCCACAAACTCACTCTAATGTCCATATGGAGAAAGTTGTTGATTCTGTCATTTCAATAACAAAAGTTTTCCCTCGACCTACGAGCTAAAGGCTAACATATGCTACGCTTGTTTCTCTGCAAACTACCGTTAATATGAGGCTTAAAACTGGTCAAAGGTCAGTTTATGAAAACCAAACTGACCCAAACTACACATTTTCTGGGTTTGTAAAGTGTTGTAGATATTTGGGATAACTACGTACACGATTTAACTACATTTGTACGAAACATCCAGTCGTTTTCCACACATACAAGTGAGGAAATGGTATATGTGTTTAAGTAAAGCCCAGTTTTTAATCCACTTGAATTCTCACGGTGTAATCTAAAGTCCATTCATACCACAGGGTTTAAACCAGAACTGCTGCATAAGCTTTATGGACTCGATTACAAAATGAAAAAGTTATAGCACGGTAAACCATTTCAGTTTGTTTGTATTATTTATTGTTGTGTTCCTGGGTAGTAACGTCTTTGTCTGAATCTTTAATAACCTCAGCGTGTTCCCTCTCAGCTGATTCGTCTGTAATGTGGTGAGTTAGGGTTGAGGCGAACAGAGGAGCGATTGTCAGAGAAAATTAGGAAATTAACAAGTAAGGTATGACCCGGACAGCCCTTAAAAACAGCAGAGGTTATAAAACAGCCGACTATCTCCGGCTGACTGCTTGCCTCTCTCCCGCTACTACTGTGATAGCAGGCGGACTCCCAATCAAGGCCTCAAAACCCATCTCTTCAAAAGAGCCTTTGCCCAGACCTTTTTACCACCCTTTTATTTATTTTTTTATTGCTTTTTATTAATTCTACCGTGTTGTGTAATGTCTATTTATACTGTTCATGCTCACTGCTTGTAGCACTTCGGCATTTGAAATCAAATATGAAGTGCTTTATAAATGGAACCCATTATTATTATTATTAAGTATAATTGACTCTGCTCTAAAAGGCCTTTCATTTGTACCGAAACTTTCCCTTTGTCGTTTTCATTCAAAGATTATTCAAAAAGCGAATTTACAATTTATAATTTGGAGAATAAAGTGAAAATAAATCTCGTTTATATGAGGAAAGGAATCAAGTGTACTGTCTGAGATTAAAGGGGTACATTTACAAGAAAACTCACTCAAATACTTAAGAAAAATACTTGAATATTCCCTGAGGCGTAAAGATCTTTGACAGCTAATTGGGGTTATTGTAGGTAAACAAGTAATCATGATCGACCCAGGTAGACGGGGTAATATTCAGAGGAAAAAACTCTAAATTAACGAGAAGCAAACGTGCTTAATCTCCGAGGTTAAAGTGGTACAATTACTCGGCTGTATTTGTGCTTCAATATCCTTTACAATTTGAGACGTAAATCTCACACTATGAGGTTTTTCTTGCAAATGTATGACTTTAACATCAATTTAGGGTTATTTTAGTTCAGATGTTCAGATGGGTATTTGTTGGTGCTATGTGGAGAAATATAAGTATTAAACCAAAATCTTAGGGATTTTATATACATTAAGCAGATCCATTGTACCTCGATAAGGGGTCTGTTGTCCCTTAAATTGTCCTTTTAAATATAATATATATATATATATAACGTTCCTGTAGTCGTTCTGTACTGACCCACAGTGTGTCTTTGGAATTATTTAATCTATTTGCAGAATTTTCTTTTAAACATTGGGCACATTTTCTGATTTCCGTGTCTGTTTAAAGCTTCTGATTCTTATCTTTCTCCACCCGCAGTGTGTTATCAGCTTTAAGTGAAGTGATACCATCGTGTGTGTGTGTGTGTGTGTGTGTGTGTGTGTGTGTGTGTGTGTGTGTGTGTGTGTGTGTGTGTGTGTGTGTGTGTGTGTGTGTGTGTGTGTGTGTGTGTGTGTGTAGGTTTATGTAAATGGAGGATCTGATTACCACCGCAGGCCAACAGGAAGCTGGATTTCAGGATGTCTCTGAGTGGGGAGAGTGGGTTCGGGCTGGGATACGATGCAAAGAGAGCCAGTAAAAGTTATTTGTTAACCTTTATGTTTCCAGTCAGCTTACGGCCTTGTTGCTTTTGTTCTAACTGGGAGTGTCCCAGTGCAAACAGGGTGAGAGGATGCTCAAAGTTCGTCTTAGAAGCTGGGAATGGTTGGTGGGTTCTTGAAACAAGGCACTTTGTATAATATAATATATATAATATAGATTAAATATGGTATTGGAGACACGTATGGTCTGTACTGTGTTTGTGTTGCATTTATATTATATTCCCATAATACTATATATTCCTATAAAGGTTGATTTACTTATATATTATAATTACCATGATACTACAGCCTACTAAATGCACATGTTCTACATGCTCCACAAACACAGCAGGATATATCTGTACTACTGACGTGCATTGTGTATATTTTCTAAATTTTTATTTCATATAAGAGTCCATGGTGAAATATAATTGATATAATATAAATGAAAAAATACTTTAAATAAAATGCACATTGGTATTAAAACTCCAAAATACTAAATAAAAAAGTATAAAAATGCACATGAGTATTATTGGAGTATAGCCTCCTGTGGAGCATATGAAGAAGAACCATAACATCTTAAAAAATCTCTACAATATTAATACAAATAAATATAAAAAGATTGAACATTATTATAGGATTTTTTTCCCTAAAATAATCAAATAAAAAATGAACAATTAACCGAAATATGTCAATAAATTAGGTAAAATATATATAAAAAATACACGAGTATTAAAGGAATGAAGCCTACTGTGTGGAGCATACGGGAAATAGCATTTGAATTATATAAAACACACACACACACACACACGAACAACAGACAGTTGCAGTAACGTGCATGCTGTGTTATAATAAAAACATTAGATATGTCTCGGCGGGGTATTCTCGGTAATTTGACCCACCTCCTCCTCTGCTCCTCCGTTGCCTACGTGGTGGGCCATGGTGATGCCGGCTGTTCTCCTTCAGGTCCGCAGCTCTAACACCATGTCTGCCACACACTCACACAGTCACACACACACCGTGCTGCAGCAGACACACACTCATCTGTGTATTATTCCCGGTGTTTTCTGATTTCTGTTTGGGTTTTTTTTTCTGTGTGTCGGTCGCTCTGCTAGTCTTCCGCGAGGACATTGAAAACACACCTCCAGCTTCCTGATCCCGCCCCTACACACACACACACACACACACACACACACACACACACACACACACACACACACACACACACACACACACACACACACACACAGAGAGGGAGGGGTCTGTTGGCTGTTTTCTGAACAGTAATAACAATGCAGCAGCATGCAGGATATTTTTCATAAATATTAATATATATATAGTTTTATTATATTATTATAAATGCAAGTCTTAGTATCTTATGTGTTTGTATGATTTAAAACAAATATTATACATATTTCTGTTTTCATGTCAATAAAATAAAGCTTGAATCGAGAAAAAGGGATTTTTAGATAAATATATGTAATTTTAATAACATTTGAGTTTTTGTAAATTGAAGAGACTCGGACCCAAACAAAAAAGAAAGATTTTGTGTACTTCTTTTTATTTACTACTTTGCATACATCTATTTACAAAAACCAGCACATGTTTCACATTTGGAAGAAAAACAAAAAAAACACTGTATTACAAAAATTACATATTTACAAAACAGCCATCTAGAAACCCAACGGCACCCGAGCAGATACAAAACAAAACAATTTAAAAACATCACGATAAAAATACAGAATACATGTGGCTGTAGAGATTTATAAAAACACTTTAGTGACTTTAAACCTGAAAAAACTACATTACCCATCAGCCCTTCACATCGGATTTAAATAAAAGTAATTTTTCTGTTTATTTCCTGACTATTTAGTGATGAAAGAACATTAATGCCAAAGAAAACCCACAAAGTAAGGTTTGAAAAAGAGACGGTAAACGTTGTGTTTAATGCTGACGTGTTGAATTAGTGTGAGAGATGAACACTGCTGTGGTGAAGTCTGTATCTACGGCACTCGTTACAACAAACTGCTATAGAGGTGTTTAATGCGATGTGGGGGATCTTGTTGACCACCCCTCGGATTAGAGTTGGTACGGTCCGCTCTGCTTAAAGAACAGTGAAGACTCAGGGACAGACCACTGCAGCTGCGGGAGGGAGGGGACACACATTATAAATAGCTGTTTTTTTTGTTATTAAAACAATGACAAAAAAACTATAAATAAATCATAACAAATTAAAATGTATAATTTAATTAATTTATAATATTTTTTTATATTTCTAAAATTAAAATTGTACGTACAAAATAATTATCACATTTTTTTTAGTAATTTTTTATTTGGCACACAGTTTTCTATCACTCCATTCACTCCCTGTGTACATTTGAGCATGCATTTACCTTCAGTCTTGGCCTTCTCTCCCTCTTCCTCCCTCCTCTTCCTCACCCTCTGCTCCTCCCCCCTCTCGTTCTCCTGCAGGAGGGACTGCAGGAAGGCGGCGCTCACCACCTCCTCGCCCTCGCCCACCAGGAAGGAGTTCTTCAGACGGTTATAAAGCATCGAAGCTTTGTCCATGATGGCCTGGTTCGCCCGGTAGTACCGCAGCTGGAAGCAGGAGAAAAACACGGTTAAAATAAGTATATTCAACCCACGTATACATGACATTTATCTGGCAGTTAAACGCAGAAGAAATACAGTGAACGTGTGTACATTTACTTCAAGTATTTATGACATTTATCAGCTTCTATACTGAGATACAATGCTGCAGCTGCACCGGGATAAAAACAAGGTTAAAATGTAGTTTATTTAACCCAGAAATATACGTAATTATCTCCTTCTGTCGGCAGTTAAACGGAGTAGAAATACACTTAAAGTTGGTACATTTACTTCAAGTATTTATGACATGTATCAGCTTCTATACGGAGGTACAGTACAGGAAGTGCAGTACATGTGTTTCCTGTTGATGTTCAGCCTCTACTTGCAGCTGTGTGTGTGTGTGTGTGTGTGTGTGTGTGTGTGTGTGTGTGTGTGTGTGTGTGTGTGTGTGTGTGTGTGTGTGTGTGTGTGTGTGCAGCTAAGACGCATCCAGGTGTTAGATAGATATTTGATAATAAAGCAGTGTTTACCTTCCTGAGCGTGGCGATCAGCTCGCTGTGTCTCTTCACGTGTTTGGACGTGACGAGGAGCATACTGAGCTGATCCAGAGCCAGCAGACACTTACTGATGTCCTGAAACACACACACACACACACACACACACACACACACACACACACATTTAGATTCTCTCAAAAAGTCACCATTTAAATCTTACAGAAGAATTTTTGCTCATATTTTATATTTTTTAAATTTGTATTATGTACCACTTTAATCTCAGATCAGAATTTCACATCTCATACAATGACTTCCGGAACATAGTGACATCACTACGGAACACTTGGCGCTATTGTTTCCCTATAATAATGAATCTCTTACAGGGTTGAGACACTGGAGAGGACTCTTTAAAGTAGAGACACTAGAGAGGACTCTTTAAAGTAGAGACACTAGAGAGGACTCTTTAAAGCAGACACACTAAATAGGACTCTTTAAAGTAGAGACACTAGAGAGGACTCTTTAAAGTAGAGACACTAGAGAGGACTCTTTAAAGTAGACACACTAGAGAGAACTTTTAAAAGTAGACACACTAGAGAGGACTCTTTAAAGTAAACACACTAGAGAGAACTTTTAAAAGTAGACACACTAGAGAGGACTTTTTAAAGTAGACATACTAGAGAGGACTCTTTAAAGTAGAGACACTAGAGAGGACTCTTTAAAGTAGACACACTAGAGAGAACTTTTTAAAGTAGACACACTAGAGAGGACTCTTTAAAGTAGAGACACTAGAGAGGACTCTTTAAAGTAGAGACACTAGAGAGGACTCTTTAAAGTAGACACACTAGAGAGAACTTTTAAAAGTAGACACACTAGAGAGGACTCTTTAAAGTAAACACACTAGAGAGAACTTTTAAAAGTAGACACACTAGAGAGGACTTTTAAAAGTAGACACACTAGAGAGGACTTTTTAAAGTAGACATACTAGAGAGGACTCTTTAAAGTAGAGACACTAGAGAGAACTTTTAAAAGTAGACACACTAGAGAGGACTTTTTAAAGTAGACATACTAGAGAGGACTCTTTAAAGTAGAGACACTAGAGAGGACTCTTTAAAGTAGACACACTAGAGAGAACTTTTTAAAGTAGACACACTAGAGAGGACTCTTTAAAGTAGAGACACTAGAGAGGACTCTTTCAAGTAGATACACTAGAGAGGACTCTTTAAAGTAGAGACACTAGAGAGGACTCTTTAAAGTAGAGACACTAGAGAGGACTCTTTAAAGTAGACACACTAGAGAGAACTTTTAAAAGTAGACACACTAGAGAGGACTCTTTAAAGGTCTCCCTATAATATTAAATCAGTGATCTCTTACGGGGTTTTGTGTCAGAGAGATCCGGATGTCTCCATGGATACGGTGCAGCGTTGAGTCCGTTAGTGTCATGGCCGCCGTGGCCGCCACGCTCTTCTTCTGCTCCGACGAGCCGCTCTTCATGGAAACATCTGAACTCTTCTTCTTCTTCTTCTTCTCCTCGTCCTCAGACTGCGATGCTCCATCTCTTTTCTTCTTCTGTGGTTTCGTGTCCGACTCTTCGGTGGTCTTTCCGTCTGTCTTCTCAGGTTTCTCCTCCTTCTTCTTCTGGTCTTTCGTGGCTGTTTTCTTCACCTCTGTTTCTTCTTTCTTCTTCTGTGGTTTAGTCGTCTGCTCTGCGGTCGTTTTCCCGTCAGACACTTCTTTCTTCTTCTGGTCTTTCGTGGCTGTTTTCTCCACGCTGCTTTCTTTCTTTTCGGAGGTTTTGGACGTAGATTTTTTCTCCTCTTCGCTCTTTTTCATCGCCTCATTTTCCTTTTTGCCCTCCGTTCCCTTTTTGTCGTCCACTTTTCTATCCTCAGATTTCCTCTCCTTCTTCCCTTCTTCCTCCTCCTTCTTCTTCTTCTTCTTCTCCTCCTCCTCCTTCTTCTTCCTCTCCTGCTCCATCGTCACTCCTCCCATCATCGTCTTCATCTGGACCTTCGTCCCGCGTCCTGGCGTCGCCTTCACGATTTTCCCGATGATTTTCCTCTCGTCTTTCTTCTCCTTCTCTTCCTCTGGGATTTTACTTAAAACATCGTTCTTCTGTTCGTCCGTCTTCACCTCCTTCTTCTTCTCTGTTGTTGTTGTTGTTGTTTTCTGACTGGAGGTGTTCCCCTCTTCCTGTCCCTGTCTTCCTGTCGGTTTCTCTGCAGGTTTTTGATCTTTCTTGTCAACAATCTTCTCACTTTTTGAGGTCTTTGTCTCTGACTTCCTGAGACTCGCGGTGGATTCTTTGTCGTTCTTTTTGTCCGATGTTGTCGTCTGACTCCTTCTTGTAACCTCCGAGCTGGTCGTGGCTGCATCCCTCCTGATAAATGTTCAAAGAAAACGAATTAAAAAATATTTCAATTAAGTTATTCTGTTAATTTAAAAAATATATATATTTTCTATAAATGCTAAAATAGAGAAAGCATCTGAAAATAAATGATTTCCTAATAGAAAAGTAAATTAAAATGGGGTATCTTTTCCCGTTAAGCAAATGTTTTACTTAAAAATAAGAAAACCTCCGTTCCACGGCGCACCAACGGCTGGAACTGCGATCGTTCTTGCTTTAAAAGTAGCACAGTTCATTATGTCAAACCTTGGGAAGTATCTAGATATCCCTGCCCTAATGCCAAAGGAACTGCACACTGAATATGTGTCGCCGTTTGATGTCTATGTCTGGACCGCTGCGTAAAAAGGAGGGTTTCTGCCCCGTTACTTCTCCGCTGTTTTCTTATCCCTCTTGTCTTACTTCTCCGCTGTTTTCTTATCCCTCTTGTCTTACTTCTCCGCTGTTTTCTTGTCCCTCTTGTCTTACTTCTCCACTGTTTTCTTATCCCTCCACTGTTTTCTTATCCCTCTTGTCTTACTTCTCCACTGTTTTCTTATCCCTCTTGTCTTACTTCTCCGCTGTTTTCTTGTCCCTCTTGTCTTACTTCTCCACTGTTTTCTTATCCCTCCACTGTTTTCTTATCCCTCTTGTCTTACTTCTCCGCTGTTTTCTTATCCCTCTTGTCTTACTTCTCCGCTGTTTTCTTATCCCTCTTGTCTTACTTCTCCGCTGTTTTCTTGTCCCTCTTGTCTTACTTCTCCACTGTTTTCTTATCCCTCTTGTCTTACTTCTCCGCTGTTTTCTTGTCCCTCTTGTCTTACTTCTCCACTGTTTTCTTGTCCCTCTTGTCTTACTTCACTGCTGTTTTTCTTGTCCCTCTTGTCTTACTTCTCCGCTGTTTTCTTATCCCTCTTGTCTTACTTCTCCACTGTTTTCTTGTCCCTCTTGTCTTACTTCTCCACTGTTTTCTTATCCCTCTTGTCTTACTTCTCCGCTGTTTTCTTATCCCTCTTGTCTTACTTCTCCACTGTTTTCTTGTCCCTCTTGTCTTACTTCTCCACTGTTTTCTTGTCCCTCTTGTCTTACTTCTCCACTGTTTTCTTATCCCTCTTGTCTTACTTCTCCGCTGTTTTCTTGTCCCTCTTGTCTTACTTCTCCGCTGTTTTCTTATCCCTCTTGTCTTACTTCTCCACTGTTTTCTTGTCCCTCTTGTCTTACTTCTCCGCTGTTTTCTTGTCCCTCTTGTCTTACTTCTCCGCTGTTTTCTTATCCCTCTTGTCTTACTTCTCCACTGTTTTCTTATCCCTCTTGTCTTACTTCTCCACTGTTTTCTTGTCCCTCTTGTCTTACTTCTCCACTGTTTTCTTATCCCTCCACTGTTTTCTTATCCCTCTTGTCTTACTTCTCCACTGTTTTCTTGTCCCTCTTGTCTTACTTCTCCGCTGTTTTCTTGTCCCTCTTGTCTTACTTCTCCGCTGTTTTCTTATCCCTCTTGTCTTACTTCTCCGCTGTTTTCTTGTCCCTCTTGTCTTACTTCTCCACTGTTTTCTTGTCCCTCTTGTCTTACTTCTCCACTGTTTTCTTGTCCCTCTTGTCTTACTTCTCCACTGTTTTCTTATCCCTCTTGTCTTACTTCTCCACTGTTTTCTTGTCCCTCTTGTCTTACTTCACTGCTGTTTTTCTTGTCCCTCTTGTCTTACTTCTCCGTTTTCTTATCCCTCTTGTCTTACTTCTCCACTGTTTTCTTGTCCCTCTTGTCTTACTTCTCCGCTGTTTTTTTATCCCTCTTGTCTTACTTCTCCACTGTTTTATTGTCCCTCTTGTCTTACTTCTCCACTGTTTTCTTATCCCTCTTGTCTTACTTCTCCACTGTTTTCTTGTCCCTCTTGTCTTACTTCTCCACTGTTTTCTTGTCCCTCTTGTCTTACTTCACCGTTTTCTTGTCCCTCTTGTCTTACTTCTCCACTGTTTTCTTGTCCCTCTTGTCTTACTTCACTGTTTTCTTATCCCTCTTGTCTTACTTCTCCGCTGTTTTCTTATCCCTCTTGTCTTACTTCTCCACTGTTTTCTTGTCCCTCTTGTCTTACTTCTCCACTGTTTTCTTATCCCTCTTGTCTTACTTCTCCACTGTTTTCTTATCCCTCTTGTCTTACTTCTCCGATGTTTTCTTATCCCTCTTGTCTTACTTCTCCACTGTTTTTCTTGTCCCTCTTGTCGTACTTCTCCGCTGTTTTCTTATCCCTCTTGTCTTACTTCTCCACTGTTTTCTTGTCCCTCTTGTCTTACTTCTCCACTGTTTTCTTATCCCTCTTGTCTTACTTCTCCACTGTTTTCTTATCCCTCTTGTCTTACTTCTCCACTGTTTTCTTATCCCTCTTGTCTTACTTCTCCACTGTTTTCTTATCCCTCTTGTCTTACTTCTCCACTGTTTTTCTTGTCCCTCTTGTCTTACTTCTCCACTGTTTTCTTGTCCCTCTTGTCTTACTTCTCCGATGTTTTCTTGTCCCTCTTGTCTTGTCGGTTTTCGGCCAGTTCAATCGACCGGACTTCTTTCTGCAGATGTGAGCGTCCTTAACAACGGTCAATAAGTCATTGACAGCGGTCTTTACTGGATTAACAACGTGTCACATGTTCTGAATGGACCAATCAGAATCGAGTATTCAACTAAGCCATGTAATGATCTGGAATAAAACCCTCTATTTTTTGTTTTATGAATACAGTAGAATATATCCGTGTGTAAACAATGAATAAATGAATGTGTTTGTTACAGCGAGCTCCTCCTGCGGCCTCCTCTCTCGTCCGTCAGTAACCCTTTCAGAGACTTCAGGAAACTCTGCCTCTTGTCCGCCTGCCGACTCTCTCTCTGCAAACACAACACGTCTCATTAGATACAACACACACAGTAGGGCTGCTCGATTATGGCAAAAATCATAATCTCGATTATTTGGGTCAATAATTGATATCACGAGTATTAAAAACGATTTACTTTGAAAACATCAATTTATTGAAAATAAAAATGTGAACTGTATGTTTTTAACAGTTGATTACCCTGAACTTTAAGTATCATTAAAACGGACGTATCATTTACCCAAAGAAATAGAATGGCTTATGAGTTTAGAGACAACTGGGCCAGCACCACCATGCGAAATTAGATTGACGGCCAATTTGCGCATTTTGTTCAAAGGACAGTAGTGTCCTGATGGTACAACAGATATCAGCGCTATGTGGACAAGGATCTAGAGACGCACAGTGACTGTTTAGGATTTTATAACAGTTGATTACCCTGAACTATAAGTTTAATTCAACTAAAAAACGAATAAAAAAAATATTAAAAAAATAATAATAATAAATTAATTAATAAAAATAATAAAAATAATTAAATAAAAATAATCGTTTTATTTCGATTATGTTGTTTTCTAAATGGTAATTGTGATTAAAATACGATTGATTGATCAGCCCTAACACACGGGCAGCTTTGATGAGTTCGTCGTCTTGTTCCAGTCAATAAAGTTAATTGAATAGAAATCAAAAATAAATGTTTTACCTCGTCTTCTTTCCCAGCATGCTTTGCTTTCTTCTGCTCCTCAGCTCTCCTCGTCTTCCTCCCTGCAGTTTCTTCCTCCTCCGTCACCTTCTTCACCTCCTCTTCCTCCCTCTTCCTCTTCGTCCCGTGTCCTTCCTTCTCCTCTTCCTCCTTCTTGTCTTTCGACCTCGTCTTCTTCACCTCGCTGCCATCTTGTTTGGGTTTCTTCTCCTCTTCCTCCCTTTCTCTCGACCTCGTCTTCCTCCCCCCAGTCTCCTCTTCCTCCTTTTCTCTCGATCTCGTCTCTCTCCTCGTCTTCTTCACCTCGCTGCCATCTTGTTTGGGTTTCTTCTCCTCTTCCTCCTTTTCTCTCGATCTCGTCTCTCTCCTCGTCTTCTTCACCTCGCTGCCATCTTGTTTTGGTTTCTTCTCCTCCGTCACCTTCGTCTTCTTCACCTCCTCTTCCTCCTTCTCCTCTACTCTTTCTCTGGATCTCGTCTCTCTCCTCGTCTTCTTCACCTCGCCACCATCTTGTTTGGGGGTCTTGTCCTCTTCCTCCTCTGTCACCTTCTTCACCTCCTCTGTCACCTTCTTCACCTCCTCTTCCTCCTCTGTCACCTTCTTCACCTCCTCTGTCACCTTCTTCACCTCCTCTGTCACCTTCTTCACCTCCTCTGTCACCTTCTTCACCTCCTCTTCCTCCCTCGTTTCTCTCCTCGTCTTCTTCACCTCGCCACCATCTTGTTTGGGGGTCTCCTCTTCTTCCTCCTTTTCTTTCGACCTTGTCTCTCTCCTCGTCTTCCTCCCTCCTGTCTCCTCTTCCTCCTCAGTCACCTTCTTCTTCTTCACCTCCTCTTCCTCCCCCTTTTCTGTCGACCTCGTCTCTCTCCTCGTCTTCTTCTCCTCGCCACCATCTTGTTTTGGTTTCTTCTCCTCTTCCTCTTCTCTCCTCGTCTTCACCCCAGCTTCTTCTTTCTTCTCCTCTTCATCCCGTTTCTCTTTTCTCTTTGCCTCCTTGTTCCCTTCACTCGTTTCCTCCTCTTCCTCGTCCCTTTTCCTCTTGACTCCTTGACTCTCTGATGAAGATTTCTCCTCCTCTTCCTCAGACTTTGGTTCTGGGCTCTTCAGTTTCTTGTCGACTGTTGGAGATAAAATCAGAAGTTTTATCTCCTCAAATGCTTTACACCTGACAGTGTGTGTGTGTGTGTGTGTGTGTGTGTGTGTGTGTGTGTGTGTGTGTGTGTGTGTGTGTGTGTCTGTGTGTGTTTGTCCGTGTGTGTGTCTGTGTGTGTGTGTGTCTGTGTGTGTGTGTCTGTGTCTGTGTGTGTGTGTGTGTGTGTGTCTGTGTGTGTTTGTCCGTGTGTGTGTGTGTGTGTTTGTCCGTGTGTGTGTCTGTGTCTGTGTGTGTCTGTGTGTGTGTGTTTGTCCGTGTGTGTGTCTCTATGTGTGTGTTTGTCCGTGTGTGTCTCTGTGTGTGTGTGTGTCTCTGTGTGTGTGTGTCTGTGTGTGTGTGTCTGTGTCTGTGTGTGTTTGTCCGTGTGTGTGTGTCTGTGTCTGTGTGTGTTTGTCCGTGTGTGTGTGTTTGTCCGTGTGTGTGTCTGTGTCTGTGTGTGTGTGTGTGTGTGATTTACCTGGAAGGGTAACAGCATGATCTATTTTCTTTTGTTGCTCTGCATCAATCTGACAAATAAAAAAAAAGAACACTCAAATGAGCTAATGCTAAGGAGTCGCTAATGAGTCGCTAAGGAGTCGCTAAGGAGAAGAACCGATTCAAACGAAGAAAGAGTCATATTTATCAATAAAAACAGCTGTTTTCTGGAAGAGCTGCAAACGCCTTTTAATTATTTCAGAGAGTTTCTTACCACCTCCTCCTTCTTCTTCTTCTCCTCTTCGTCCTCCTTCTTCTTCTCCTCTTCGTCCTCGTTCTTCTTCTCTGGTGCATTAGCTGCAGCTGACCTGCTGCTCCTCCTGTTCAGAGTCTCTGGAGCTGAATCTGTTCCTGAGCTTTCCGTTTTCTCCGGAGCGTTTCTGAGAGAAGATCTGGTCGGAGTTTTAGAAACAGAAACAGCAGCAGGAGGAGGAAGAGTTTCTGCTTTACTGGATCCTCTGCTGGGAGTGTTTCTGACCGGAGCCGCTCGACTGGGAGGGGGTTTACTGGGAGGGGGTTTACTGGGAGGGGGTTTACTGGGAGGGGGTTTGCTGGGAGGGGGTTTACTGGGAGGGGGTTTACTGGGAGGGGGTTTGCTGGGAGTGGGTTTACTGGGAGTGGGTTTACTGGGAGTGGGTTTGCTGGGAGTGGGTTTGCTGGGAGTGGGTTTAGCTTTGTCGTTGGTAGCCTTTGTGGATTTAGCAGGTGTAGCTTTAGCTGTAGCTTTAGCAGGTGTAGCTTGTGCCCTGCTCTGTGCTGGTATCTGAGGACACAATAAGACGGAAAGGATCCATTAACACCACAAATACATGACACTTTTCTCTGTGCGAAACAAGCTCTCCAAAATGGCTTCACCGGTCTGGCAGTATTTTAAGGTGTCCGAAAATGACAGTAAAATAGCGGTATGCAACGTGTGTGAAGCAGAACTCCTGCAGCTCCGCCCGCTGTGACGGACCGGTGAGCGGAGCGAAACACACACTAAGAGTTAGACCTAACAGAGAGTTAGCTTTAAGGTGAGAGTTAGCTTTAAGGTGATAGGTAGCTTTAAGGTGAGAGTTAGCTTTAAGGTGAGAGGTAGCTTTAAGGCGAGAGGTAGCTTTAAGGCGAGAGGTAGCTTTAAGGCGAGAGTTAGCTTTAAGGCGAGAGTTAGCTTTAAGGCGACAGGTAGCTTTAAGGCGACAGGTAGCTTTAAGGCGAGAGGTAGCTTTAAGGCGAGAGGTAGCTTTAAGGCGAGAGGTAGCTTTAAGGCGAGAGGTAGCTTTAAGGCGACAGTTAGCTTTAAGGCGACAGTTAGCTTTAAGGCGACAGTTAGCTTTAAGGCGAGAGTTCGCTTTAAGGCGAGAGTTCGCTTTTAGGCGAGAGTTCGCTTTAAGGCGAGAGGTAGCTTTAAGGCGAGAGTTAGCTTTTAGGCGAGAGTTAGCTTTAAGGCGAGAGGTAGCTTTAAGGCGAGAGGTAGCTTTAAGGCGAGAGGTAGCTTTAAGGCGATAGGTAGCTTTAAGGCGATAGGTAGCTTTAAGGCGAGAGTTAGCTTTAAGGCGAGAGGTAGCTTTAAGGCGAGAGTTAGCTTTAAGGCGATAGGTAGCTTTAAGGCGATAGTTAGCTTTAAGGCGAGAGGTAGCTTTAAGGCGAGAGGTAGCTTTAAGGCGAGAGTTAGCTTTAAGGCGAGAGGTAGCTTTAAGGCGATAGGTAGCTTTAAGGCGACAGGTAGCTTTAAGGCGAGAGGTAGCTTTAAGGCGAGAGGTAGCTTTAAGGCGAGAGTTAGCTTTAAGGCGAGAGTTAGCTTTAAGGCGACAGGTAGCTTTAAGGCGACAGGTAGCTTTAAGGCGACAGGTAGCTTTAAGGCGAGAGGTAGCTTTAAGGCGACAGTTAGCTTTAAGGCGACAGTTAGCTTTAAGGCGAGAGGTAGCTTTAAGGCGAGAGGTAGCTTTAAGGCGAGAGTTAGCTTTAAGGCGAGAGTTAGCTTTAAGGCGACAGGTAGCTTTAAGGCGACAGTTAGCTTTAAGGCGACAGTTAGCTTTAAGGCGACAGGTAGCTTTAAGGCGAGAGGTAGCTTTAAGGCGAGAGGTAGCTTTAAGGCGACAGTTAGCTTTAAGGCGACAGTTCGCTTTAAGGCGACAGTTAGCTTTAAGGCGAGAGTTCGCTTTAAGGCGAGAGTTCGCTTTAAGGCGAGAGTTCGCTTTTAGGCGAGAGGTAGCTTTAAGGCGAGAGGTAGCTTTAAGGCGATAGGTAGCTTTAAGGCGATAGGTAGCTTTAAGGCGAGAGTTAGCTTTAAGGCGAGAGGTAGCTTTAAGGCGAGAGTTAGCTTTAAGGCGATAGGTAGCTTTAAGGCGATAGTTAGCTTTAAGGCGAGAGGTAGCTTTAAGGCGAGAGGTAGCTTTAAGGCGATAGGTAGCTTTAAGGCGAGAGGTAGCTTTAAGGCGAGAGTTAGCTTTAAGGCGAGAGTTAGCTTTAAGGCGATAGGTAGCTTTAAGGCGATAGGTAGCTTTAAGGCGAGAGTTAGCTTTAAGGCGAGAGGTAGCTTTAAGGCGATAGTTAGCTTTAAGGCGAGAGGTAGCTTTAAGGCGAGAGGTAGCTTTAAGGCGAGAGTTAGCTTTTAGGCGACAGTTAGCTTTAAGGCGAGAGGTAGCTTTAAGGCGAGAGGTAGCTTTAAGGCGATAGGTAGCTTTAAGGCGATAGGTAGCTTTAAGGCGAGAGGTAGCTTTAAGGCGAGAGGTAGCTTTAAGGCGAGAGTTAGCTTTAAGGCGATAGGTAGCTTTAAGGCGATAGTTAGCTTTAAGGCGAGAGGTAGCTTTAAGGCGGGAGGTAGCTTTAAGGCGATAGGTAGCTTTAAGGCGAGAGGTAGCTTTAAGGCGAGAGGTAGCTTTAAGGCGAGAGTTAGCTTTAAGGCGATAGGTAGCTTTAAGGCGATAGGTAGCTTTAAGGCGATAGTTAGCTTTAAGGCGAGAGGTAGCTTTAAGGCGAGTTAGCTTTAAGGCGAGAGGTAGCTTTAAGGCGAGAGTTAGCTTTAAGGCGATAGGTAGCTTTAAGGCGATAGTTAGCTTTAAGGCGAGAGGTAGCTTTAAGGCGAGAGTTAGCTTTAAGGCGATAGGTAGCTTTAAGGCGATAGTTAGCTTTAAGGCGAGAGGTAGCTTTAAGGCGAGAGGTAGCTTTAAGGCGATAGTTAGCTTTAAGGCGAGAGGTAGCTTTAAGGCGATAGGTAGCTTTAAGGCGAGAGTTAGCTTTAAGGCGAGAGTTAGCTTTAAGGCGATAGTTAGCTTTAAGGCGATAGTTAGCTTTAAGGCGATAGTTAGCTTTAAGGCGATAGTTAGCTTTAAGGCGAGAGTTTAGGCGAGAGGTTAGCTTAAGGCGAGAGGTTAGCTTTAAGGCGAGAGGTAGCTTTAAGGCGAGAGTTAGCTTTAAGGCGAGAGTTAGCTTTAAGGCGAGAGTTAGCTTTAAGGCGAGAGTTAGCTTTAAGGCGATAGGTAGCTTTAAGGCGATAGGTAGCTTTAAGGCGATAGGTAGCTTTAAGGCGAGAGGTAGCTTTAAGGCGATAGTTAGCTTTAAGGCGATAGTTAGCTTTAAGGCGATAGTTAGCTTTAAGGCGATAGTGAGCTTTAAGGTGAGAGTTAGCTTTAAGGTGAGAGTTAGCTTTAAGGTGAGAGTTAGCTTTAAGGTGATAGGTAGCTGGTTGTGAATTGGAGTCAAGGTCAAAGAAGAGAGAGAGGATTTAACAGAACAGTTTTAATAAGCGACTCTTACTTTGAGTTTGCTCCCCACGGCGGGCGTGTTCTGGATCTCCCACATGCCTTCAGTGAAGCCTTTGATCCGGACGCCGCTGCCGAACTTCAGCTTGTTCCCGACGTACGGCACGATGTTCTCCGGAGGGATCGTTCCTCTGAGGACGGATATTACACTTTGAAGTCACCATGTCTTTGCTGTCAGGATTACTGTGTGTGTGTGTTGGTGTATACATTTATGATTGGTTGAGACTAGTTGGGGAGGGCCAAGGTTTAAACTTTGGCTCTCTCTCGTTGGTGCAGAGACTTAGACAGAGTCTCTTGGCAACACGATCTTCCAATCAGCATTCGGCCGGCCTGTGAAGGTTCCTCCCTCTCTGTCGCTATCATACGCCATTTGTTTTTGCTAAAGTTTTCTACAGATATGGTGGAGAACCTTCATTCTGCTGGTTCCCAGCTATGCGTGGGCGTTACAGAGCCTCAGTAACGCATTGTCTCTACAGTGTCTGCACCTGGCTTTGGGTCAGGGTATGTTTTGGTCATTGGATTTTCTTTTCACAGAAGGATATTCAAAACCAAAAAACGACTGGATATTTAATTTGTTTTAAAATTGAAAAACCAAAATTGAAATTCAAGGCGTTTTTCTTTATCATGGTCGAAAATGGATTTACTAAACTTAAAAAACGGGATGATTTTCATTTTGTACTTCTCAAAACAAAAAATAAAATCACTAGAAAACACTACAGTTTTTTCATATTCTGCTACCGGAAGTGACCTTACAAAATAAGTGCGCAGATGAGGACGGTCAATCCGTGTGTCTACGGTCCATTTGTTTTTCTTTATTAAACAAGTAAACGGAAGAGCGTCTGAGAGGCCTTTTTGCTTTTTACGAGGGGCGGGGCGAATCTCACTGCTATATTCTATGAGTGATACAAATATTCTTTACCAGAAGTTCTTAATAAAACTGATACTGTTGGACTCGGTACTAGTTTAACTGCTACCAGAAATAAAAGGAAGTACTTTTACCGTGTACTTTGTGAGTAATCCTCAAAGTCCCCTCCATAGTACATAATGCATGTTTTCTGCTATCTTTGATGAATGATACAAATAAAATGTTACCATTAGTTCTTAATGAAATTGATACGGTTTGACTTTGTATTAGTAAGCCTACTACTAACAATACATTGAAGTACTTTTACTGTGTATTTTTTGAGAAATGAATCTTGTGGTGCTTGAAGAAATACAGACTGGCTAAGCCGGCCAGGTTATATATATATATATGCCTTTTTTTTAGCCCTTTTTTTGCAATATTTATTCAAATGTCACTAATTTCCCTTCGTTTCGTATCCTACCCATCAGAACCTGCGATTAGTGATTTTGTCTATTTATTCCAAAGTCACATCAACATAAAATGAGCACAATAAGCTTATAATGTAATAATAAGAATCAGTCTTGTAATGTTATATAAAAATAGACTCCACAGAGTGTACGTACATCTGATGCGTCCCGAAGAAGTAGACCGGGATTCTCTTGTTTCTTCCACCGCCGTCACACTGACACACCTGAACACACAGAATATGACGTTAGCTAGGAATACACATCTGTACGCAGGTATTTATGTTGTGTGTGTGCATGTATGTGTGTGCGTGTATGTGTGTGTGAGTGTACCCTGGCAGGCCAGTGGGGGAATCCCTTCATCTTGGCGAACACCAGGTCTCCCTGTTTGAACTGGTCACCGTTTTTCCCCGGCATCGTGATAACTCTCACTCTCTAATGACAGAGAAACAGCCTGAAAGAAAACAGAAATATATTGAGATTACTTAATAACCATCATGTAATCAAGGGCCGTCTGAAAGACACATTTACTCATTCATTATATATATATACCAGTTTTAGTTTCACATTATGTGTAAATCTTCTCTTATCTAAGTACATATTTATGTCTGATATGTAATAAAGAAGTAGTATAAAGTGACATCAAATGAAAATACTTAAGCTAATACAACTACCTGCAATCTGTATTTGAGTAAATGTACTTTATTTACTTTCCAACCATGACAAACCGTTTTGTTTAAAAAAGTCGTTTATTTCCATTTTAAGCATTAAAACCTATTTTAGAAAGCGTGAAGTTTAAACTGTGACATAAACTGAGTAGTTTCTATCTAGATTTTGTATTAATTTAGTAGCATTTATACATATATTACTGTTAATGCAAATGTGAGATATAATCCAGACAAACAAAGAGTATTAAAAGAACAATATGTATCTCTGATATGTAGCTAAGGAGTGACCTTAAAATATAGTTTCCAACCATAGAAAACGGTTCATTGTAAGGCTTTACCTGTTGCTAGATGTTATCTGAAAGGTATAAACCACATTCAAAGAGAGAACAGGTCGTTTCCTTCCATCAGAAACGTTTTTTAACCAGTTTTTAAGTATTTTTTGTTTCATTTCCAGCTCGTCGTGTCTTTGTTTACAAATACAGACCGTTAGCTCTGAAGCTAACTTTAGCATGTGGCTAAACCCTGAGCTGTAGCTGGACCCTAACTCTATGTGGTTCATATCTATCTTAATGCAAGTTTACCGGGACAATAGGTTTACATACCGTAAAAAACCGAGGGATAATGGTGTGAATCCGGAGATAAAGTCTCTGTTTTCTCTCGTTTCTAAGCTACGATCCTTGTTCTTCTTCTGTCGCCATGTTGACCGTGTACATCATGTCACGTGACAAACAGCGCTTTCCCGCTGGCGACTGTACCATTGTGTGGGGAGACTGGACTGTACCAACTCGGGGTAAATCTGTTAGAAAATGTAAAATAAAACGAATTTCGGACTAAAAAAATAAATATATATACACTTATTATCTTTCAAGGAAACGTGTTAAGATATTTGTAATTACCCTTAATGTAGATTTTATGCTAAATTATTCTTTACAGCCTTTAAGAGGCACATTATTTAACTTTCTACTACACTGAATTTATTTGATAGATTTAATATTCAAATTATACACACAATATTAAAGCTATGTTCACATTAATTAATCGATTTCTCAGTCATTTTAATATATTACAGTATTTAGGATTCAGGGAAGGGCTATTCTATTTTACGAGTACTTTTACTTTTAGTACTGTACGTATATTTCGGTGCTTTCACTGTTTAATGCACAACTTTTATTAACTGACATATTTCTTGTTACTTTCTGGTACTGAAAGTTAAAAGAAATACAGAATTAAACTATTTACAGGTGTGTTTCTTTATAGAGTATAACATGGGCAGAATTGACAAACACATGCGAGGTAGTCTCATTTTAAGAACTACGATGTATTAAATAAATATACAAAGCTGTAATTATTTACAATTTTATTACAAAAACATTTTTCTCAAACCGAGCAGACAGGCTTAAAATGCCTATGAACATAGAGCTGGTTATTATTGTGTTTTTTTAATACAATAGCTGCTTTTTGATACTGATACCAAAAAAAAGCAAAGAAAAAAGTATTTTATTATCAAAAAATATGTAAGTTTTGTAAATTCACAAAGAGACGTTGGTGTAAATCAGGAACGATCTGATCAGAGATGTAAATAAAGTCTGACAGGGAATTTATAAAAGCTTTTAACAGTCCAACACTTCATATTTTAGTGTGTGATCATGTGTTCTTATATCAGTTCATTCATCAGTTTGTCCAGTTTTTTTAATCACTTCCACTATCGCTGTCTTCCTCTTCTTCCTCCTCTCCTTCCTCCTCTTCCTCCTTCTTCTCAGGTTCCTCCATGAGTCCGGCGAAGAAGTCGTTATCTCCGTGAGCTTTCTTTGTGAGCGACTTCATGCGTCCGTCTTTCTTCTTCCTCTTGCGGTACTCGGTGACCTTGGTGTTTTTTAAATCCGAAATGTCCCAGAACTTGATCAGCTGATCGTGGGCGCTGCTCACCAGGAAACGGGAGTCCCAGGATTTGTTGATTTCCTCGACGGGTTCTCCGACATGTTGCCCGATGCACCCGATGACCCGGTTGGGAAAGAGGTTCACGGCTCTGATGGAGGAAGGAGAGACATTTATATATAAAGAAATGATGGATTATCTCAGAACTAAAGGGTTGTTGGACCATGTTACCAATAAGAAACCAATTCAGGACACAAAGACATCATATTAGACCATTAACAAAATAGTTTTGACCAGTTAAAAGCCCATTTTGGTCCAGGTTAGAGCATCGAGGAACCAGTTTATGATCCCAGTCATTAAGTTGTACCATTAGAAAAAAATAGTTTGGACTACTTGAAAATGCGCCATCGTGACATCAGCTCAGACAATTAAAAGCTGATTTTTTATCATTTGTAGACCGCTAAGAAACGAATAGACCGCTAGGAACCAGTAATCCCAATGCGATTCAGATTTTTTTTTATCATTTTAGAGCGTTAAGAAACCAGTGTATGGAACCAAGATCATGTCTGACCATTACAACACCTGGTTGGACCATTAAAAAAACAGATTTTACCATAAGAAGCCAATTTTGACAATTTTAGGTCATCAAAACATTAGATTAAAGCAGCGTTGTTAGTTAAAGGACTAGCTTGGTCCATCAAAAGAACATTTTAGGTCATTATAAGATCACAAAAACACCAATTGGACTACTGAAAGACCAGCTCGGTTCAACTAAGACCAATAAAAACCAACGTAACAGTAATCTAGGACCAAAATCAACCAGTAATCCCAATGAGAAAAATTGAAAGACATTATGGATTATCTCAGAAGTAAATGGTTGTTGGATCATGTTACCAATAAGAAACCAATTTAGGCCACAATAACATCATATTGGACCATTTAAAGCCCATTTGGGTCCAGATAAGAGCATCTAGAAACCAGTTTACGATCCCAAAGTCATCAATGTAACTGTAATCTGGGACTAAAAACCACCAGTAATCCCAATGTAACCCTGACTCACCGAATGTACCCGTCCATGGAGGCGGTGCACATGATGTTGTCGGTGATCGGCGCGATGCACTCCACGGACTCAGCTTTGATGGTGAATCGGTCGCTCGTTGCTCCGAATCCGTTCCAGTTGAAGATGTAGATGGTTCCTTCGCTGGAGCCGCAGATCACCTTCTTCCCCCGCTTCATCAACGCCACCGAGGTCAGATCTCCGGTCTGATACTCCGACAGAAGCTCGAAACGCCGCCGCTTGATGTTGAAGACGCCCATCGTGCCGTCGCCACTGTGAGGGGCAAAGAAGGTACAATTAGAGGGGTTACAGAGGGCCGTTGGTGGTGTTTTAAGGACGTTTTGAAGCATTTATGGTAGAAAAATGTCTGAAAATGTAATTTGTCGAAATGTACAAAAAAAAACTGTAGAAAAATGTACGAAAAGTTGTAAGAAAAAATGTACCTGAAAAATTAACAAATATGTATACAAATGTTTTGAATATCTATTAAATAAAAATGTAAGAAAATGTCAGAAAATTGTGAAAACAAATCCTAAAAGTTAAAGGAAACAATCTGAAATTGGAAAAATGAATCAGTATTCTCAATGTCCAAAAATATCCTGTTTTTTAACCAACTGCTTTTTTACCAATGGCAGCAACTAAAAACAATTGTCAGAATATTTCAGACCGATTTGTAAAAAAATTTAAATATTGTCCGAAATGTTTGTGAAAAATGTAAAAAGAAAATTAAATATTAAATATTTAAATAATACAAAATGATTATGAAATGTTAAGAACCTGGTAGTGAGGAGGATCCTCTTGGCCGCGTCCACTGCAATGTCACTGATGTAATCCTCGTGCTGTTTCAGATCCATGATGGCCGTCCCCTTCCTCATATCCCACACCTTCAGGAAGAACAACGGGACAAATTCAAGTCAGATTTATGCTTTTCCTCATATTTGGAAGTGATGTCGTTTTGTACACGTGAATTCCTCATCATGGTGATACTTTATCATCATAAATAAAGTAATAATATAAAATAAACAGTATATATCCCCTCCTGTACAGACCTTCAGAGTCCCCCCATCGTCCCCAGTAGCCAGGATGTTCTCGTCCACCAGCAGCAGGCTGTTGATCGGGGCTCCGTGAGCTCCTCTGATCCGAGTCACCAGCTGCCCTCGCTCCACGTCCAGCAGGTGGACCGCTTTATCTCTGGAGACGCTGTAGAGCTGCAGTCCGTCAGCAGAGAAACGCACCTGCAGAGAGAGACAGGTAAGGAGGCTTATTTTAAAGTCTTATACATCAAAAACACTGCAGAGATTTAAACCTGATATTGAATATTCCTGTTCTTTTTGAGATACAGGTAAGGAGGTTTATTTTAGAGTTTTACACACAACCTCACCTGTCTGCAGGACTTCAGGTGTTCTTTAGTAACAACAACAGAACCTCAGAGGCCTGTACGACGAAGCCGGTTCAACCTAACCTGGATATGTTTGAGTTAGCCGGTTGGCCCAATCCAAAACATACGCGCTCTCGCTAAACTGTACTACGACGCGGGTTATCAAGTGGATCGCTCAAGCCAGCCGTGTCCCATCTAGTTAGGTGCACGTTCACATGAAAGGGGTGGTATCTGGAGCATTCGACCAATCTCAAACATGGACAAGCGTACTGACAGCGCAGCGTCATACTTCCTGAATGAAAAGTGAACTTTAATATTAGTCAAATATGAAGAAGTTAAACTTTAAACATCCATGACTTAAACACTTTACCCCAGGATAAAAGCCACATAGCTGCACCTGCAAGGTGAATACAGCTGGTAAAAGAAAAAGTGTTTGAATGCGTACATTAACAGGTTTATGAAATCACTGCCCCGTCCAAGACACGAGTGGATCTGACTTTAATTACATTTGACTCGAGTGTTTCGTCAACTTAATGTGTTGCTTAAAATAATACTTCTGCATACAGTATGTGACACTGTGAGTGTTGCACGGCCAGATACGGCTCAGCTGACTCAGATAAGGAAATATATGATACATTATGATGTGATATGATATGAATGATAATGGGACACATCGACGTCTGCACTCACAGTGCCGTGGACTGTACTTAATGTTACTCTGATCTGGTTACTTATGTTGTGGCAGATATTTAAGTAAGCTTTCTTAACGCTAATGTTATAATAGTCAGATTGCTCTGGAGATGGGAGGGGATATTCTATTAATTTTCACGTTCACACAGTCTGTGATTTTTGCCGGCCGTCTTTCCTGCAACGGCAGTTTTCTATATTTCCTCTATCCTGTAATATGACTTGATAGCTTTAAACTCTGCACACGGAGCTCTGATTGGTCAGCAGGCGGTTTCACTTGCGTTAATTTATTGACATATGTATATGTTGAACAGCAGACCCTCACCTGTCTGCAGGACTTCAGGTGTTCTTTAGTATCTTTAATAACAACAGACCCTCACCTGTCTGCAGGACTTCAAGTGTTCTTTAGTATCTTTAATAACAACAGACCCTCACCTGTCTGCAGGACTTCAGGTGTTCTTTAGTATCTTTATATAACAACAGACCTCACCTGTCTGCAGGACTTCAGGTGTTCTTTAGTATCTTTAATAACAGCAGACCCTCACCATGTCTGCAGGACTTCAGGGGTGGTGTCCAGAGGAACCACAGTTCCCGGGTCTCTCCCTCAGTACAGGAGTATGCATATGCGTACAGATCTCCGTCCCACGTCCCCGCACACAGCAGTCTCGGGTCGGTGCAGAGCCACCGTGTTGGCGATGGCCTCACAGCTTGATGTCAGCTGGAGTGTCCCCTAATGAATGCGGCTCCTTGAGGGCCCCTCTTCATCATACTTCATCATCGTCC